ATTTTTTGCAGCAATTCCACTTTTTGTTTGTTGGACATCGAAACATACTTTCGTTTTGTAGATCCTTTGGAAGTTCCAGCATCAGAAATTCTATATGACATAATTGAAAGTTCAAGTTTACTTTTATAAAATTGCTCTTACAGTCTGCAAAAAATAATAAGCGGGATCCAATTTGAAGTTTAAGGAACAACGCAATCATTAACATTAACTGAAATATATAATTAGATAATTTTAGCTTACACCGTCCGTTATACATTAAACGCGCAGGCGAAAACGTATTCTGCACTTGCGCACACGCATATGCGCAACAGTCAAGGTCTTACGCGCATGCGTAAAACGCCTGTGCGCATGTGCCAATGCGGTGCATGCGCAGAAAGTTTTTAGCTTTCAGGTCCGGATTATAGATCATTCCGGATTATGGACGTCCGAATTAATGACTTTTGACTGTATAGGTATTTTGACACAAAAGTGCACTTTTTCTGAAATGACTTGCCATTTTCCATACTTCGATTCTAGAACTCAAATTATGCCAAACTGCCAAGTTTTGTAAAAATCGCATGAGTGGTTTTAAAAAAATTAGCTCTCAAAATTTTAGCTCCTCAATGTTAATTGAATTTGATATATATTTATTAATATCTCTTTTTGGTTAGAGTAGAGAGAAGGGTATCCCTTGTATTATTGCGAAGTTGTTGTTTCATTTATCGCCAAGTTTTTGTTTCATTTATGGTAGCCTGAATAGTTGAATGTTATAGAAATCCTATTATGATGTAATCGGTGGCATGATAGCGGTAAATTCGTAAGGGCTTGTGGTCTGTGTTGGTTAAAAAGTATATTGCTTGTTTTGTGGTTTAGACAGTAAAATGGCTGAATGTGATAAGATTAATTTGAAGTTTCTGTACGATTTGGAAGGAAAGGGGAAAAGAGCATTACTTGACTGGTGTGTAAATGAAGATTTACTTAGTAGCCATTATTAAGTGTCCTGTTTGTAGGAAGGCAATGTGTTATGGTCGGACGATAATGGCAGTACGGAGGATATTTTTTACTCTTATTTTGTGAATTTATGTGGTGACGCGAGTATACAGATTCTAATTCAGATAATTTTAGGAAGTTTTTGGATGCTGTTAAGGAATTTTGTTTGATTGAAGATATGTTAATTCGTAATAAGTGTATATTTTTGTGTAGTGCAAAGGTGAATTTTCTTTTTTATGTTATTTCATTGTTTGATTTAAAATGTAGTTTATTGAGATTATATATATATATATATAATATATATAAATATATTTTTTTTTGTTGGCTGCTCTTTTGACTTTTAAAGTGAATATAGTTCAATGTGTACATGGACAAAGGGAGTGCGCAGTGCCTAGTTTGTGCAATTCTCTGTTGTTTTTTTTAAGTGAAAATAGGTTGATGTGTACATGGATATTGAGTGCGTGCAATTCTTTGTCTTGTTATTTCGGCTTTGTGTAGTGGCGATTTTTGGTGCAAAAACCACCGCTACACAAGCCAGAATAACAAGTCTAAGAATTGCACAAATTTGTTATTCATGTATCGCCAATTTTCGCCAAGGGGTACCCGTGTTACCTTCCTTTGATTATTTAAATTTAAGTTCATTCCATTCACCGTATTTTAAAATTTGTATTTTTAAAGAATTTTTATAAATGTTTCAAAAACATTTGAATTGTAATCTATAAAATTTTTGCCATCATCTTAAAGTAGATGTATTTTAAAGCATACCTGCAAAAAATTAGTTTTTTTATTGAAAATTTCCGAAGTTATATGGGAATTTATATATTGGCACATTTTGAAATTTGGCATATTTGTTGAAAGTGATAATGACATCAAATGTGGTTTAGGCACTTTTTTAAAATTATTTCGAAGTATAAATGAGTTCAACTTACTTATAGATTTTAAAAACAAATGTTTAGTTGATGGACAAACAAAACTGTATTCTTCTGGTAAGACTTCCCAATGTGCACCCGCTCAGTACTAGCATTCATATTTTGATGGGTAACTCAGAATTTGACAAAATTCTTGCCGATTACCCCAGCTTGACGAATCCTTCGCAAACTTTTGAGAGGACACCAATGTCAACAGTTTTCCATCACATTGAAACTAAAGCACCCCCTATTTTCTCAAAACCTAGAAGATTATCTCCAGAATTACTTCAAGCTGCACATCAAGAGTTTGACTTTCATCCTATCAACAGGCATCATTCAGCCTTCAAAAAGTCCTTGGGCAAGCCCCCTTGCATATGGTTCGTAAGGCCAATGGTGACTGGCGGCCTTGCGGAGATTATCGTCGACTTAATGCCATTACAATTCCTGATCGATATCCCGTCCCCATATCCAGATTGCACTCAAATTTTTCATGGAAAAACATATTCTCAACCTCGATCTTGCCAGTGCCTATCATCAAATCCCTGTTAACCCTGCAGACATGTCCAAAACGCCAGTCACTACACCATTTGGTCTCTTTGAGTACTTATATATGCCATTTGGCCTTCGCAATGCTGGCCAAACATTTCAGCGTTTCATACACCAAGTACTGTCTGGTCTCGATTTCTGCATCCCATATTTTGATGATATCCTGGTTGCATCTACAGATGCGGAAGAACATTTCCCAACATCTGCGTCAGATTTTTCACTCGCCTTAAAGATCATGGATTAAAACTAAATCCATCCAAATGTGTACTTGGTCAACCCTCAGTTTCCTTTCTTGGATGTCTTATCACCCAGAATGGAGTAAAACCTTTACCGGAAAGAGTCAAAGCAATTAACGACCTACCTCAGCCCAAAAACCATCTCTGAACTGAAGCGTTTTCTAGCAATGTTAAATTTCTACCGACGCTTTCTGCCAAATGCCGCAAAAACACAAGCCTGCCTACATGAGTTTCTGAAAGAAAAAAAAAAACGATCAACGAGCTGTCCCTTGGACTGAATCTGCATCTGCAGCATTCGTGCAATGCAAACACGATCTGGCAAATGCAGCCACACTTTCTTATCACTCACCTAGTGATCAGCTCTCTATAATGGTAAATGCATCTGACACGGCCATAGGAGCAGTGCTTCAAGCCCATACCACTAAAGGACTTTTATCCAATTGCATTCTTCTCCAGAAAACTTACTACTGCAGAAAGGAAATACAGTACATATGACAGGGAGCTACTTGCTGTGTACTGTGCTGTTAAATACTTCCGGCACAACTCTTGGAAGGACACGACATCATTTTCACCGATCATCGACCATTAACCTTCGCTTTTAGAAAAAACTCTGACTCATGTTCTCCTCGTCAGCTTCGACATCTGGATTTTTCATCGCCCAGTTTAGTACAGATATCAGATATGTCTCTGGTACTGATAATTGTGTCGCCTGATGCCTTGTCTCGGGTAAACAATATCAACCTCACTACCCCAGATTTTCTCTGAAATTGCAAAAGCTCAATTGCATGATGAGGAACTCAAGAACCTAATCTCAAATCCACAAACCTCCCTTCAGTTAAAACCGCTGCACATTGATCCAACGCTTAAAATTTACTGTGACATAGAGAACAATAGAATACGTCCCTATATTCCTGTCAATTTTAGACGTGAAGTGTTTAATGCCTTGCACAATTTGGCACATCCTGGAATCCGTGCCACCAAAAAGCTGATCGCAGACAGATTTGTCTGGCCAGCAATGAATCAAGACATCACAGAATGGACTCGTTCATGTATTAGATGTCAACGGTGTAAAGTATCCCGTCACACTCACAGCCCCATTCAACAATTTAACCTTCCTGCAAGACGTTTTGATCATGTACACTTAGATTTGGTAGGCCCATTGCCTCCTTCAAATGGTTACACTTACCTTCTCACTTGTATTGACCGTTACACAAGATGGCCTGAAGCCTTTCCTATTGAAAATATCTCTGCTGAAACTGTAGCTCGAGCGTTCATCTCCCAGTGGATTTCAAGATTTGGCATGCCTACTACCATCACTACTGATCAAGGTCGACAATTTCAATCTCACTTGTTCTCATCCCTCACATCTCTTCTTGGCATTCGCCATATCCGAACAACACCATACCATCCATCTGGAAATGGGATGGTGGAACGATATCACTGATCTCTAAAACAAGCTCTGAAGTGTCACAGTAGCACACACTGCACAGAATTTTGCTATCTAAATTTTTTGTTTTGGATTTTTAGCTTAAATTGTGTGTTAAAAGCATGTTTTTTTTGAGACATTTTAGGCTTAAAGTTCGAAATGTTGACAAAAAATTTAGATAGTAATATGGCACCATGGATTTTCGAGCCGAAAATGTTTGGTGAGAAATTTGGCAACCTGAGGGTGTATATAAAAGTAGTTCCATGCTGTTTAAATACAGGTCATCATGACGACATCCAAAAAATAGTGCTGCTCAGAGGGTTAAATGAATTTATGTAATTTCGAGTTTTTAAAGAATGTGAAATTTGTTATTTTAGATTCCATTAACGATTTTTGCCCACTGAAATGATTGACACTAGTTTTAATGTCAGGTAATTTCAAAGCTTAAGTTCATTGGTATTTAGGTTTTCATATGCTATAATTGTAACTTGTATCTGAGTAAAGAGCAATCTGTTCCTTCAAATTTGGTGGGATTTGGTGGGATTCAATCTTTGGTGGGATTGCTGTCATCAATGGGAAAATACAGAAACCTGAAAAATTTTATTAACATATATTAAGATTCAATTATTAAACATATTTTTATTTATTTAACCTTTAATATTTTTTCATCAAATTATTTGTAAATGGTTTTAAATATGTCAGCCATTCTTTAAATGTCGGTTGTAAAATATTTCTTAAAATTTCTCAATTTGTATACAGAAATACAGTGTAATTATGCTGTTTCAAAAATGTTTTCTAATTATGCTTTTTCAAAAATGTTTTCTAATTATGCTCCTGCCTGAATTGCATGTATATCTAAGTATATTTTTTAGATCTGTTATCATAGTTTCTTATATTAGTGTTTCATTTTGCTAGGTTTGCTTATTGATTTCCCATGATACTTCATTGCATTTGATCAGTTCAGAATTTCTACATAAAAAGTGTTTCATGTGTGCAGTTTTCAAGTTTATGTTTACTTTTCATTGCCTTGAAAAATGAATCAGAGCCCTGGAAATAAATTATCTTCACGTGAGCGAACTGAACTGGAAAAGTATGTGAAATTTTTGGTTTTTAAAATGTCTCAAGTTATCGTGCAGTCGCGCTTTGGAGAAAAACGAAAAGTGCGAACAAGCACTAAATCTTCTGTTCATGATTGGGTGAGTAAAATGTGCAATTATGTTAAGCCTTCTGTTAAAATGCATTTAGTTAGATCATAGTGTATATGTGTTTTTATGGTATTAATTGAGGGTAGATGGTTATGATTTTGCTGCTTCTAAAGAATATTTATTTTTCTACTTTATTTATTTTCATAAGTATCACTGTTTAGGTTAATAATAAATTATAATGTAATTTGGCATATATATTTTTTTCCATTTGACTTTCTTTTAGGGCCAGTTTTACAAATGATCTAAAGCTAAGTAAAACTCAGATAAAATTATTTTTAAACCATTTCTTGCTCAGCATGTACATCTTCTTCCTCTTGACATTGTGGAGTACTCAACATCATCATTATTATTTGTCCTTTGATCCAAGAGAGGGTGCTGCCAGCTTTCTCCCTCTCGTGCAGTAGCTAAAAATTCGGACCGGTCCCTCATTTTGTTCCAGGCTGCCGTCAGTAAAGCACAAACTTGCCTTTCTTCTGCCTCGTGATGTTCGCATAGTTGTATTACAAATTGAACTTATTACCTGTAAAAATGCTTTTGTTGTGTGACCTGCATCCGATGTTATTTTGTTACTATTGAACGTGAGTTGAAGTATATATCCTTTCTTGCTTTAAAAAAAATGGTAATATCACCGAGCTAAGTTATCATCGTTTTATCTGCAGCAACAACACACGCCACCAAAAATGGCATCCATAAATGATGACCCGTCAAGTTAGTCAAACACGTGCCTCCTGGAATCTCCTTGCATTGTCAATTTTTGTGCTTATAATGTATTATGAAGTGGAAATATCATCTGTTAACACAAGCTAATATCATAATCCATGATTATTTTTGTGATATCATCAAAATAATCCATGATTATTTTCGTGATATCATCAAAATAGTGTGAAAAATAATTGTGTCTTCTTAAAAATGTGCTTGTGAATTATAATGTACCTCATGCAAAAGGGCAAAGTGCTTCAAAGTATTCTACATATAAATCCTACAACGTGGTTACATATCACAAAATTGTTTTGGAATATTTTTGTATGAGTGATTTGTGTTATGCTGACTGAGCAAATATTTCTCGTATAATTCGGAGGTAAGCTACACAAATTCTTAGTATTTATTTAACACTCATGCCTATATCTGGATAGCATACCTGCAAAAAATATTTTTCTCACTTTAATCTTTGCATTAACTTTATTTATCTTGCATTAGTATCATATGTGTACTTATTAGTGATTGATTATTGTGTATTTATTTGTTGCATATTGGCAATATATATACATATATGTTTGTTTTTTGTGAATCATGGCTCCACCACAACCCATCGCAGATGATCTTAATATCTTGCATGTTTCCGTCAAACTTCCCCCATTTTGGAAGGTCAATCTCACTTTGTGGTTTGACCAACTGCAGGCCCACTTTGAAATGCCCGGAATCACTGTTGACTCCACGAAATTGAATCGTGTGATATCTGCAATCGAATCTGATATTCTCAATAGTGTTTGCGATATCGTTACAGTTTTTGTGCTTATAATGTATTGGGAAGTGGAAATATCATCTGTTAACACAAGCTAATATCATACATATCAAGGGCTATCTTGTCTCTCGCAAAATGCACAGCGTATTCATGCTGTCTTAAGTGATGATCTCCCAAAAGTCACAGTTGTAGCTGACAAAATTGCAAATTTTGTAACTCTCCCCAACATAAACAGTGCTGCTACGATGCCTACCTCTCCCATTGAACAGCAAGTTGCAGAGCTGATGAAACAATTAAATTTACTTTCGCTAGCCATCAAAAAAGCCATGAATGCTCCTGTGAACAAAGAGACAATCATTCCCAATACAACAGAAGGCTAATAGATCCAATGGACGCTATTGACAGTATAAAAGAACCATGAAACAACATTTGTTTCTACCATACTAATTTTGGTTCCAATGCAAGAAAATGCATTTCTCCATGCAATTTCCAGCAGTCAGAAAACTAAACCAGTGATCGCTTGGCAGCCAACGTTGCAATGGCCACATTAATCAAATTCTCCTAGCCGATCCATCGTCAGAACTGACCTTTTTAATTGACATCAGCACCGATTTATCTGTCATTCCCAGGAGTTACAGTCAGCATGCCAACAATCCAGCTGCGTTAGTACTCTTTGCTGCCAATGGCACGAAAGTAGCAGCATATGGTACCAAACTTTTGACCATCAATTTAAACTTACATTGCTCATTTACTTGGCCTTTTGTCTTGGCAGATGTCAATCAACCCATCATAGGTGATGACTTTCTCACAAAGTTCAACTTACTTATAGATGTTAAAAACAACTGTTTAAAATATGGACAAAGAAATCGATATTCTTATGGTAGACTTCCTAATGTCAACACGCTCAGTGGTAGCATTCATATTTTGATTGGTTACGCAAAAGCTGACAAAATTCTTGCCGATTACCCCAGCTTAACGAATCCTTTGCAGACTTTTGAGAGAAAACCAACATCAATAATTTTCCATCACATTGAAACTAAAGGACACCCTATTTTCTCAAAACCTAGTAGGTTATCTCCAGAATTACTTCAAGCTGCACGTCAAGTGTTTGACTTTCTCCTATCAAAGGCATCATTCAGCCTTCAAAAACTCCTTGGGCAAATTCCCTACATATGGTTCGTAAGGTGACTGGCGACCATGTGAAGATTATCATCGCTTAAATGCCATTACAATTCCGGATCGTTACCCTGTACTCCATATGCAGGATCGCACTGAAATGTTTTCAAGAAAGACGATATTCTCAACTCTTGGTTTAGCCATACCTGTTATCAAATACCCGTTAATCCTGCTGACATTCTGAAAACTGCCGTCACCACCCCCTTGGGTCTTTTTGAACTTTTTGCTATACTGTTTAGTTTACCTAATTCGGGCCAAACTTTCCAAGGTTTTATACACGAAGTTTTATTTGGATTGGATTTTTGCATCCCTTATTTTGACATCTTTATTGCATCGACTAGTGAAGAAGAGCACATCAGCCATCTTCGTCAGGTGTTTGATCATTTGAATAAATACAGTTTGACTTAAAACCCTAACAAATGCATACTCGGAAAACCATCTGTTTCCTTTTTAGGTTGCTTTATCACTGCCTCAGGTGTAAAACCCCTGCCTGAAAAAACAAAAGCAATCGTCGACTTCCCAAAACCTACCACTATAGTCGAGCTTTAGACATTTCTTAGCCATGATAAACTTCTATCGCTGCTTCTTACCAAAGGCAGCTGAGACCCAAGCTTCACTGAATGAACTCTTAAAAGATTCACGTAAAAATGATAAACACTCAGTTGCTTGGAACAACGAACTGAATCAGGCATTTGAAAAATGTAAATTTGAAAAATGATCTTAGTAATGCTGCAACTCTCTCCTGTCATTCTCCTAACAAAAAGCTGAGTATTTTGGTCGATGCTTCTTGCGTTTCCATCGGAGCTGTCTTAAACATTCGACACTCTAGCAACTACCAGCCGCTAGGATTTTCTCACTTAAACTGTCTCCCACTGAACAAAATATTATAGAAATTATTATTTAATAGCTATTAAGTATTTCAGGCATAATCTTGAAGGTCAACACTTCACTATATTTACTGATCACCGACCTCTAACTTATGCATTCACATCAAAATCAAATTCTGCTTCCCCGACGACAAATTCGGCATTTAAATTATATAGCTCAATTCAGCACTGATATTCAGCATATATCAGGTTCCAGCAATGTCGTCGGATACTCTCTCACGTTTATTCAGGGCATCGATGCCAATGCACCACTGGATTTCACGCTTATTGCTCACTCGCAAGCCACTGATGAGGAGTTAAAACGTCTGAGTGAAGACCCAAACTGCTCGCTGAAATTTCAGTCATTACAACTTACTCGGGACCTCCAACTATTGTGCGATACCTTCCTAACAACAGACTGCGACCCTATGTACCACTTGAGTTCAGGAAAAGGAAAATAGTTTTTGACTGTTTTCCACAACCTATCGCACCCAGGTATCCGGGCTTCCAAAAAGCTCATACAAGAAAGATTCGTTTGGCCATCCATGCTAAAGGACATTGCCAACTGGACTCGTTTCCTGCATCATGTGCCAACGTTCAAAAGTTACCCGGCACACACACACACATAGCCCTTTGGAAAAAATTGCGATGCCATCCGAGTACGATTCGACCATGTCCATATAGACATCGTCGGTCCTTCTGCCACCATCTGACGGTTATCGATATCTACTCACCTGCATTGACAGATTTACTCGTTGGCCTGAAGCTTTTCCCATTCAGGAACATCTCTGCTGACTCTGTGGCTCGACCATTCATCACCGGTTGGATTGCACGATTTGGTGTACCATCAATTGTGACTACTGATCAAGGTCGACAATTCCAGTTGCACCTTTTCGCTTCTCTGACATCTATGCTTGGAATATGCCGAATTCACACTTTGTTACATCATCCTTCCGCCAATGGCTTAGTGGAACGTTTCGACCACAACCTAAAAGCAGCTCTCAAAAGCAAGACCTCACCTGTATATCTGCTGAACTTGCCTGCGACACAGCGCTTCGATTACCATCGGAGTTCTTTCAGCCATCCTCTGCTCCAGTCGATCCAGCTGTTAGAACCCAGCCTCAGTTGTTATTTTTCTTTACATAGTTTATCACTGTAAGAGTGGCAACCATCTGATTTTTTTGTAGTTTCTTGGAGTTTTATGGATTTTGAAAATAAATATGACGCTGTAGAATTTTATATGTAAAGTTATTTTATTTTAAGTTTATTAGGAGAAAGGAGAACATTCTTGCAAATCTCGAACAATTTTGGTGATGACGGAAGTGATCGGTAAAACAAGTCAAGGTAATTTTGTTAGTTTTATCGAATTTAATTTTATTTGACTTTTTTGAATTTATTTTTATTGAAATGGAATTGTTAATTGAGAAACGAAAACCTGTCAGAGCGTCTTTTATGAGAACAATTAATGCAATTTTGCAAGAATTAGA